TAGTTAACATTAAAACAATATCATCAGCTGAAAGTGTGCATCACTAGTGTAACATCTTTTTCCTTTTCTGTATATCATCTGCTTTATTTAGACAATTTTGTAGTGTTTTTGGTTAGTTGTTTATGCCTTTTCTGTTAATGATCGACGGCAAAAGACGGGGCCGTTTTTATATATATTTATTTATATTATATATATATATATATTTATATATTATATTTAATATATCTATATCTATATCAATACTATATCTATATCTATATCAATACTATAGATAGAGAGAGGTATGACGCTCATATGCTACTTTCGTTCGTTGGGAAGGAAAATGCCCTTCTTCAGATGCCTTGCCTTATGCCTTTCCCCGTTTTTGATCTGAACCAGCTTGCCTCCAAATCCATGTGTAACATCAACAACATTTCGCAGAAATCGATCGCTTTGAAAATCGGAAAACAAAAGATAATTCTCACTCACCACTAAAACTTTTTTACTTTAATACGAATGAATAAATTTGTCTGCCGCACCCATCAATTTCCGTAAATTGCATAACAATTGCATAAATATATAGATAGATTACATAGAAAAAACACTATTTTCCACTGTCGTCTTTCCGAAATGCCAACTTACTATGTTGGTTCAAGCTGATACCTTTCAGCTTGACACCTATATCATTAATCCTCCATATTATGACTACTTTTTTGTTGTTGTTGCAAAATAAAAATTTGCGTTCCTCTGCAGAAAAGCTGATCTTTTCCCAAAACACTGTTGAATTAGCTTGTGGTGAAATAAAACAATCTTATTTCATTCCGTTTCACTAAAACGCTAGATAAACTGATGTTATCGTCCTATCGAAATATCCAAACCATATTTCCTCGATAACAGATCTTACATTTTCCATTTCACCATTTAATCTGGCATGTCTTCAATTTTTTTTTATTATACTTACGTAGTTTGTCTATTACTTTAATAATTAATAAATATTTTTTACTGCAAGAATAATGGGCCAATCCTTCCAAAAAGCAACTAATAATTGTTTTTGTATTTTTAATTAATAACTTCGCTTCATACATCTCAGTTGGAACGAGTACCTCCCGCTGCCCAATCAAACTATACTTTTTTGGACTGTATTTACGCTATGATTTGCCGACGAAATAAAATACAAGTTCTGGGCTGAAGACTATTACACAAAAAAGTTCAAAAGCATTACACTAAATTGTTCATTTGATGCCCCATCAGAAAATCAACCATATCGATCGATATGTCTCACCTGTTCAAATCATCTAGTCGTTTTAGGTAAGAAAATTTTTTTAAATGTGTAATTGTTTGAACTCGCCAAGATTGATCTACAAAATCTATTCTAAATGCGCATTATGACTCATGATTTATTGACCCCATAACGTGTAATTGTACCATATATGATTGATCTACATTATAATTAAATTATTTTGTTTGTTTATGCATTACAAATCAAAATAATTGATCTACACAAATTAAGCCTATCTTGAACAATCGCTCTTATTATTAAACTGATGATTTATTGTGCAGAAAAGGCTAGTATATTGTTTGGGTCATATTTTCTTCACACCCAAATATATATTAATATCGACCGATCCAAATGATTTTCTCTCTACCACTATCATGATCTATCGCCATGCTTTCAAGAGTCTTCTGTGTGATATCCCTGATTAAAGATAAAAATCCAAATATACCATACAGAAAAGCAAAGCCATCTCCTGAATATCCCCTTTCGCAACCTGAAGACACTGTCCCCTATGACCTTTACAATAAAAATTCATCTATCAAATCATTGGTAAGTTCCCTTTTTCAATATTAATATATCCATCACTATGGGTATCCCTCTATCTCTATTGAAAGAAAATATTCTTTAGTTAGTTCGACACATCAAAAACACACAAGCAAGTCTAACAGAATTGACATATCATTTGCCTCTTCTAGTAAAAACCTTATATATCCACTGATTCCTACAATCCAATAATGATCACCTTGCTCCATCACTCATACATTGTATCAGAATTCTATTCACTATCGACCACGCAATGTACTACGAGACTTTAGAATTCCAATTTATTGGCACACTAAATCAACAACTCCATCAACCGTGACACCCCTGTGGAAGATAAAGCAAGAAAGCAGCAATATGTCCACTAGAAACACTATCGAAAACCAGTCCTACATAATCTATATCGCAATCACCACCCTGAACCACGAATCAACAAAGATCAACTGTAAATGGTACCGTTGACCCCTCCACTAGCACAGTCCGAACCTCCTGCAAAGCGCACTCATACACAATCAGATACATGACATGGCAATTATCATAAATTTCCTTTAACTGTTCTTTTTCCCGCTACTGCCATATATATTAATATATATATTGATTTTCGGCTTGCTGTTCAAAAATTGAGTTCCTGAGTTTTGGTTATTTGATTAATTTCTTTATTTACTGTTTGGATGGAAAGGTATCAAATTGTTAGTGTTTTGATTACCTTTACCAAGACAACTATGTTTTATGTAGAAATTTAACTTGATAACATGATACAACGATATTTTCTCAATCGAATGTTAAAAAGGTTCTGCAATAGATCGAGTTACTGTTAGTCGTTATATTTCATATGTCTAAAAAGAAAACTTTACTCGAATGACTTGCTACTTGATTAATTACATTAGCCAGTATAGTAAAACAAGAACATAAATTGTTGCAAAATGAAAGCAACAAGTACGTTATAATAAATGCTAAATAATATAAATGATTATTCATCTTAATGAAAATAAGCACACAGTCTGATTCTTTCTTTTTGTAAAAATTCTTTCTTTACATAATATAAAGTAATTGATAATTTCACATCACATACGCAGATTCATACCACCAACCAACTCCTTATTTCATACAAATCGATATGATCATAACTATTCTATATGATTCGGACACTCGTCGCTAATACTACTGTATATTTGAATCAGCCCCACATCCATGTTCAGGCAAATATCCAACCCCCCATAAACATATACTTTGTGTTTACCCCAACATGATTAAATGGAATGAAAGCCACATTATTTTTATTATTTACTACTAATAACATTAAATTATTTTGTTTGTTGTTATTACGCATTACAAATCAAAGCTTATCTTGAACGATTGCTACTATTTATTATTGTTAAATCGACGCTAAACTAATCGTAATGATTTATCATACAAAAATGGCTAGTATATTGTCTGGACTATATCAACACACCCAAATATAAATTGACTGATCTGAACGATTTTCTCCCTACTGCTAGCTATCATGATCACCACGCTTTCAACAGTTTTTTATGTGATATCCCTGGTTGAAGATAAAAATTCTAAATATACCATACAGAAAGGCCAAGCCATTTCCCGAATAAATAATGATGGAAATTTCCTTATTTATAATTTTACCTGTTGGATTCCCCTTTCACAATCTGAAGACACTGCTGAATTTTTACCCTTACAACCTTTACAACAAGATTTCGTCTATCAAATCATTGGTAAATTCACTTTATCACAAGACGCTTCTATTAATATAACCATCACTACGAGTATCCCGCTATCTCTGTCAGAAGAAAATATCCCTATTTCAAAACCCATCATTTCTTTAGTTGGACACATCAACGCAGAAGCAAGTCTAACAGAGTCGACATATCATTTACCTCTTCTAGTAAAACCTTATATATCTGCTGATTCCTACAATCCGATAACGATAACCTTGCTCCATCCCTCAGACGGATGGTTGAAAAATTCATTTGCATCCGCAAAAAAATCATCGCTCATACATTGTATTGGAATTCTATTCATTATTGACCATGCAATGTACTGCAAGACTTTAGAATTCCAATTTATTGGCACTAAATCAACAACTCCTTCAACTGTGGCACCCCCATGGAAGATAAAACAAGAAAACAGCAGTACATCTGCTAGAAACACTATCGAAAACCAAGTGGCGGTCATACATAAATCCATATCGCAATCACCACCCGAACCACGAACAAACGAGCAGAAAACATCGACTTCCAAAAAAATCAAGGTTTTTAAAATTGCAGACATCGCAAAATCTTTACTCACTAAAAAAGTGGAAACTTCTTCTGCCGTATCGTACAATAATGAAGATCAAACATCGACTGAGAATGAAACCATTGACGAATGTACTCACCCTCCACCAGCACAATCTGATCCTCCTGCAAAGCGCACTCGAAAAAGATCATACAACAAAAACAAGTAAAATTTCAACTAGATATGCAATCAGATATATGCTGCCCAATTATCATAAATTTCCTTCCCCGCTTCTTTTTCCATTATATTAATATATATATTTATTTCTGCCTTGCTGTTCCAAAGTTTGAGTTCCTGACTTTTGGTTTTCACTTTCTTAATTAGCTGATTTTTTTTTATCCTTGTCTTTACTGTTTAGATGGGAGATGGGAAGGATCGAATTGTTAGTGTTTTGATTACCTTTACTATTGCCATTACCGGAGCGACTATATTTTATGTAGAATCTAACCTGATAACATGATGCAACAATATTTTCTTAAAAAGATTCTGCATTAAAACGAGTTACTGTAAGTCATTATATAAAATTTTATTTCATACGTCCAAAAAGAAAACTTTACCCATCCTGACTCGAATGGCTTGCTACTTGATTAATTACATTAGCCAGCAGAACTAAATTGTCGCCAAATAATTTTTTTTTACATTCAATATAATAAACTCTAAACAATATAACCGATTATTCATCTTATTGATTCGTTTTCACCCTAACATAAGCACACAGTCTGATTCTTTTTGTGAAAATTCTTTCTTTCTGTAAAGTAATTGAAAATTTAACATATACAGATTCACACAACCAACCAACTCCTTATTTCATACAAATCGATTATTCTATGTGATTCGATGAGATTGACCTACAAAAAGCTAATACTTAGCCCAGCTCCATTAGCACTACCCACATATATTTGAATGAAAGCCACATTATTATTATTACTAAATACAGTAACATTAAATTATTTTGTTTGTTTACTCAAAGTCTATCTTGAACGATTGACTCTACTATTTTTATTCATTGTTAAATTGATGACTTATTATACAAAAAAGGGGGTACCCCCAAAAAAGGCTAGTACATTGTCTGGACCGTATCTTCCTCAAACGGACTTTTTTTTTCAATGCCCCTATTGTGTCTGAGTTTGGGACCTGTCTCAGTTCAAACCCCAGTCACTCAATCCAGAACTCAGTCGTCTCAGTCCAGAACTAAGACAGATCCCCAACTGAGGTACAACACCTGCTATCATGATCGCTCCCAATTTTTTCATATACTCCAACAAATACGATTAGGTAAACACTTCTTAATCAACTTGGAATAAATAATGTATAAAACTACAATCCCACATAAGTGCAAAAGTGATATCATAAAACTATACCTCAATCTCACCCAAACCGCAACCAAACAAACAACAACTTCAACATATTCAAAACAGCAAATATTGCAAAATTTCTACTGTGCAAACTTCTGCCGTACTGTATGACAATAAAGATCGATCATTTAATTTAAATCCGATATGGTTAGTTGCTTCACTCCTTCTTTCTTTTCGTTTATGTTTAATAAACATACACACACGTAGTACATCAATATATGTATACATACATATATGTGTGTCTGTACTACATTTCCAATATGACGATTTTTATACCACAAAGAGCCATTTATTATTCGACAGTTTGCCCTACCACAAATCTTGAAAATAAACAAATTTATAAATTGTAATTGGTTTTTCTTGATGCCTTTATTTATTCAACAAAACCCAGCATCGATCAATTAATTTAAATCCAATACAGGTTTGGTCACTTCACTCTTGCCATTTACTAAAACAATGCACAATAGCACAACAATATTCGCATATAAGAGAACGAAGACTTTTATTGTTACAATAAAAATTTTACTTCTTAATAAAATGTCCCAATTTACATTCCCAATCTACCGTATTCATACCGACGACACCAATAGACCTCCCATCATCCAACCCCCAGTCACAGATTTACACAATGTCACCGAAAACTTTAATAGGCCTACAAATTTGCATAATTTACGCTATACCTTCACATACCAAATAGCCGCTGATTCCACTGAATATGTAGAATCGCCACTTACCTATACACCCTCCTCTCCATATGATTCCGTTCAAATTCCCACTTGGCATCCCAATCGTCAGCTACGTAACCTTCACACCCGTTTTTCCAATACAATCTTGTATCAACACATTTGTGTACCTTGCGTGTTTTGCGGAAGGTTATTATACCCCAAAAAAGCAAAATGGTTACCATATAATGAAAATATCATTTATCCACTCCAAACGTCGTTTCCCCAAATCGATTTAATTTTTACTGGAAACCAAACATCTGTAAAAGTTTCAACATGCTCTACTTGTGCAACTCAACAAAGACGTTATCCATGTCCACAACTATGTGCAATCCCCCCTGAAATCGAAGCAATTCCATTAACACAAAGACGATTTCTTTCCCCGATTTTTCTTCACTGTTCTCTCGGAAGAAATACAAACAATCCCTTTTCAGAATATCGTACTCTTGTAGGTGACATGTCTTTCTCACGTAATATGCGTGCTTTAAAACTTTATTCCGGCACTCTGGGCGCATTTCTCACAAATCCTGCACATGTTAATGAAGACATATCTTGGCTTACTCCACAAATTTTTACCGCCGCAGAATGGCTTAAGCAACATAACCGCTATATCAGACCCTTATCCACTCTTCTCCAAAATCCGTCATCTATTGCCGCTGCTATTTCTGGGCCTTTCCCCACTGCACATCACTCTCCTACAGATTTTCGAACACCGCCAATACATGAAAGAGAAATTGTCTTACCAAACAACAATTTTCCAACTGAAATACATGACGAAGACTTTCACTATACGCGTTTGATGGCAGGCTTTGTACAAACTCCCAACACCACTTTACCTCTTTCCTTTAATGATCCAGAACTTGAACCTTTACTTTTTCCTGATATATTTCCTGACGGAAGAGGCCATTATCGTGATTCGTCTTCTACACCTGCAGAAACTCATACGAAAATAGAAACATACGGAAAATATATCAAACACCGGCTTCTATTTGTAGACTCTCGCTTTCGTCTGCATCCTTATTGGCCTTTGTGGTCATACATGCAGCTCGAAAAACTCCGCAATCATCAATATACAAACCGTATTTGGCGTCAAAACAACGCTAACACAATACATCGTCCACCCACAGCATCGGAACTTATCACCCGTAGCATCTATACTAATCAACCCATTATCGATGAAACAAAAACCACAACTCTGCCAACCTTTATTCGTACGGGAGACACTTACTTTCACGAAAAATTATTACACGTTAATGCAATGATTACTGAATTTGGCCTGCCATCGATTTTCGTTACACTAACAATGGCAGAAAATAAATGGACACACTTAACCGATATTTTGCGATCTACTGACAATGGTGACACACGTCCTAGTAATAGACCGTTACATACGGCTTTACATTTCATACACCGCAAACAAGAGCTTAAGCGTAATGTTTGGTGCAAACCTGACATCAGTAATTGGGGAGAATTTCGCCATTTCTTCGAAAGAGTAGAGTTTCAAAATAGAGGCGCTGCGCACACGCACACATGTATATGGGTTAACAAAAACACACAAGACATGATAAATGACCACACTATACACTCCGATTTACCCGATCCTGATTCAGAACCCGAATTATATAATCTTGTCATACAACATCAAATACATACATGTTCGCCGAATAAATGCAGAGGACCCGCTCCTCCAGGACAAACATGTAAACGAGGCTTTCCCCGTCCGCTTTCATCTTCAACTTATTATAATTCTCGTGATTTACGCTATATTTATCGCTGTGCCAAACCTACCGACCAATGGATCGTTCCATATCATGCACCAACCCTTTTTATGTGGAACGCTCATATGAACGCTCAGTACGTAACTTCCCGTGGTTTGGGAAAATATTTAACGAAATATGTAGTGAAAGCAGAACCTTCACACATCTTTAACATTTCCGATGGTAATACCTACAGAGAACACATAATTGCACGCCGACTTGGATCGATGGAATGTATGTTTTTACTATTAGGAGAAACAATATGCAGTTCATCTATACAAGTAAAATATTTGCCAACCGATCCCCCGTCCCGTCGACTTCGTGCAATACGCCCTATTTCCGCAATTACTGAAGAAGACGATCCATTTTGGAAAGATGATGTTGAAAAATATTTTGCTCGACCGGAATTTGACATATTTCGTGACATAGCTTATCCTCAATATTTCAAAAATTACCGTCAAACAAAAAAAGCACCTTCAGTTAACAGTAGGTCACCTACTAGAACGCAAATTTACAGAGATAAACTTGATAACCTTATCGTAAAACGAACAGTTCCTATTATAATTCGTTTCCGCTATCTAACCATCCAAGACGGTGAAGCTTTTTTCTATCAACAACTTCTGCTCACGCATCCCTGCAGAAACGAAAATGACCTACTTGGTGGACACCCAACATACCGCGCTCATTTTCTATCTCTTCACCCAGACCTTCAACCATCCTCAAACGAATCTACAAATATTACAATAAGCAATCAACTCTTTTCTCCTAATAATTACTCAGATCAAGTAATAACCAACTTAATAGAAGACCTAGCTTCCATTATTTCCCCACAAATACAACAAATTCTCCATATTCAATTACAAGCTCTTAAACAGCTTCCCCCAATTTTACCACAAACTGCTTTGCTTACACTTCCTGAAGAACAATATAATGTTCTTAATATTATCACTTCTAATCTTGGACCACGACATAAGAAAAAATGGCCCTTTTTCTTCATAACCGGTTCTGCAGGCACTGGGAAATCATACATCATTCATTTAATTATAAATTGGTTGAAATCAACAAAAAAAAATTATCTCTTAATGGCTCCAACTGGAGTGGCAGCTCAAAGTATAGGTGGTTTGACTATTCATTCAGCACTGAGAATAAGTCAAACAGAATCAGGCTTTCAATCCCTCGCCCTTTATGATACAAGCTTCAAAACTGAACTGCTTAAAATAAGAGTACTAATAATAGATGAAATTTCAATGGTTTCAGCCTCCCTTTTTACATTTCTCGCAAACATGTTTGCACAAATCCACAATAACAGCATTTGCTTTGGTGGTCTAAGCGTTA